GTACTAAAGTTGTACTACAACTTCGCCAGTTCTCATCTTCCAGCTCCACAGATACTCCGCGTACTAAAGTTGTACTACAAAGTCGCCAGTTCCCAGCTTCCAGCTCCACAGATTGCTCCGTGTACTAAAGTTGTCATCTTCCAGCTCCCCAGAGACTCCGCGTGCTCAAGTTGTACTACAAAGTCGCCAGTTCCCAGCTTCCAGCTCCACAGATTACTCCGCGTACTAAAGTTGTACTACAAAGTCGCCAGTTCTCATCTTCCAGCTCCCCAGATACTCCGCGTACTAAAACGTACTACAAAGTCGCCAGTTCTCAGCTTCCAGCTCCACAGATTGCTCCGTGTACTAAAGTTGTACTACAAAGTCGCCAGTTCTCATCTTCCAGCTCCCCAGATACTCCGCGTACTCAAGTTGCACTACAAAGGTGCCAGTTCTCATCTTCCAGCTCCGCAGATACTCCGCGTACTAAAATTGTACTACAAAGTCGCCAGTTCTCAGCTTCCAGCTCCACAGATTGCTCCGCGTACTAAAGTTGTACTACAAAGTCGCCAGTTCTCATCTTCCAGCTTCCCAGATACTCCGCGTACTAAAGTTGTACTACAAAGTCGCCAGTTCTCATCTTCCAGCTCCCCAGATACTCCGCGTACTAAAGTTGTACTACAAAGTCACCAGTTCTCATCTTCCAGCTCCCCAGATACTCCGCGTACTAAAGTTGTACTACAAAGTCGCCAGTTCTCAGCTTCCAGCTCCACAGATTACTCCGCGTACTAAAGTTGTACTACAAAGTCGCCAGTTCTCAGCTTCCAGCTCCACAGATTGCTCCGCGTACTGAAGTAGCACTAGAAAGTCGCCAGTGCCTGCATTTCGCGCACTCGACACGCACGATCTCCGCAGAGGGTTGCGCGCACACCGGACAAATCGCACTCTCACCTGCACTTCGCGCACTCGACACGCACGATCTCCGCAGAGGGTTGCACTTTCGGTTGACGCTGTTCGTCCCGCACTCCGCCTTTAAGAGAGAATTTATAAAGTGGGGAAATGTTTTTTCATTAGGACATCTCCCGTGCTAGTTGCATGCTTGCATAGTCATTGCATGCTTGCATACTCACCCTTGCATATCATGCTTGCATACTTACACTTGCATACTTTGACACTGGCATACTTCGCACTTGGATGCTTTCGCTCTTCCAGTGTGTGTGTGTGTGTAAGTGTGAGTGTCGAAGTGTAAGTGTCGAAGTGTCAGTGTTCAAAGGATTTTCCGGAAGAACCCTTCGCAATGCTTTCGGGAAATATATATATATATATTTACAAGACATACACACCTATTTTCCTTACAGGTCTTGAGGGTGTTGTGATTTGTGTATTATCTCAGTTCGACAAACTAGTTTTGGCTGTTGTGAAGCAGTGAAATTGCCCAAGAAACATGCGTTTTGGCTGCTCAGAACATTTCCTCAAAGATCTACAAACTCTTGAGATTCGGATGGATTGGGATTGGGCACCCTTTTCCACGCCTGTGGGCCCACGTTTGGCCAGGACCTGGTCTACCGGCGTGAGGAGGAGACGGTGGAGGCCAACCCTCGCTCCGCAGAGGCCGGGGACTGTGAGATGGAATATCATCGTCCAACAGGTAGATGTCCATGTGGAAGATAGATTCAGGATGAAACAATAGGGGGACCCCTCCAGGAAGAGAAGCAACATCAAAAACTAGTTTGCAATTGCACCTTTTTTCTCGAATGGACCTGGACAAATACCATCGTCGCTTTCACCAACACTATCAATACTTACTTATCAACAATAATCATGATCATCACATCACCATCATTACCTTTGGATCTACCGTTCTATTCTATCTCTTCAAGCTTGTGGCAATACCAACAACCAGCAGAAACATTTCCACAATGCCAAGTATTCCTGCCATGGATGCACCAGGATCCACTTGTTTCACAAAGTTCTTCTAACAAATCCTGAAGCGACCACTTCTTTGCACGATGGGGCTTTCAAAGCCATCCTGAGGTGACCTTGGCCTTCAAATCTGCGAAGGGCATTATGCGATACTTCAGCACAAATCCTCGGTGGTGGCAGGGGCACGGACTCACTGATCCATGGGCTGACGATGCCCCCAGCCCAACAAGACCCTTGCGATTGGAAGGAAGTAGCCAACCCACCAGCCCAGCAACAACCTCAACGCCCTGATTTGAGGTGCTCCTGCGCTAGAAAACTCTGGCTGCGGGCATGCATACAGATCCTTCATTACGGTCCCGGCAGTAAAGTAGCATGCGTGGCAAACGTTCTCAACACGATCATGTTATGGGTGTCATTTTCTATAGATTCTATGGTTCAATCTCGACAATAGGGGAACGACATGCCAACACAGTACTTGGCCTGACTGACCCCTTGCGCACAGTCTCTCCAGCCGCAAGCGAGGATTCGCTTGGAACCTGGATTTGTCCTTGCAAGCTGCACATTCCATGTGGGTGTGGCTGAAATTATACATGCCGAAAGCTTCATTTTACAAATTGCGCTTGGCCAAGAACAGTGGATTCTCCCCAGGTGTTGGTCAAAACAAACCACTCCAAACTATGGTAGATGCACATATCCAGTTGCCGACTCTTCTTTCAGGGACGTCAAAATGCTTGGTTGGATGCGGTGTGCAAGTGACGGTGGGATCTTTTGCCAAGCTCCGTGTTACGTTTGTTTGCTCAGGTCGAGTCATCAATACTCGAGGAGAGGCCACCTACCGGTATGGCACCTCCACCGTCCGGGCCAAAGGTGTGGAACAACAGGGTCGCGGGTTTGCAGGTCTGCACGCAGAAGCAGTGAGATGATAGATTCTCGTATTTGGTTTTCTGAGCAGGGAGATCATTCAACCCTTTTTCGAATTGTAAAGTATATATATATATATATACAGAGACATGTATATACTGTAGATACATACATTTTGAATCAAGTGTGACAAGCGGATTCTTGAGGGGATTTTAAGGGGGCAACAGTGGGCAGCAATAATGATCTACAGTAACTTGTACAGTGTCTTTAGTGCTTCATTCTTGCAGAAGCTCATTGATGGTTGCCGAGTGGCAGTGGCTTGGGTCAAGTTTGTGCCGGTTTGGATTTGTAATTTCCATCTTTCCTCATCCGATTGTATCTACTTGTGTGGTGGGGCTGTCTAAGAGAATTCAATAACGACGATTGTTTGCTCCATGCGTTTGCAAACATGGGACGTACTTGCGATCTTCAAGGCAGCTCCGGATACTGTAGCTGCTTTTGTGCAGGCACACCTGGCTCCAGTCTTATGTTTGGATTTTTCATCTAAAATAACTAGATGTGAAAACAAGCTTTGAACAAAGGATGCAATATCTGAGAATAGTCCCCAACCCGAGGTAAGCAATTTTTTTGGATTGGAGGTTGGATGCCGACTCTTTTACATATTTCTGCAACCTAAATCTGCTATGTCCCTTCTGCTGATAACCAAGAAGTTGTCGGCCTTTTTTATCGCAAGTGCTTTAGTCTTTTGGACATTTTGTTCTTCAGTTTTTGATGTAGGTTAATTCCTCATGACTCATCACCAAGTGGGTTGAGCTCCTTAACATGTATCTCAGGGAGTGGCTAGTCTTTGAGCCAAACCTGGACGGTCAATCGTCCAGAATCCCCAAGCAACAACAATACGGAGCGTGGGGAAAGTCCCCTTGGGCCGGTCAAGAGTCCACACCCTCACTAAGACGAAGATGGCACAGCTAGGTTTGGAGCTAAGAGCGGGTTCGCGAGCGGGTTCGCGAGTGAGGACGGTCAACCGGGAAGACGGGTCGACCACCGGCCGAAGTTCGCGTCGACCATGGTTTGGGTTTTCTCTTCGTCATGACTTTTGGGATGATCTGTTGATCCAAAAGTAGTTGAATGTCTGTAAACTACGACGGTGAACTTTCCACAACATGACTTGAGCTGGGTTTCTTTAAGCTCCATGTCCGAACTTTCTGATAGCGAGCACACTGCACAGTGTCGATATGGAATTTGTGGGCTTATTCTTCATACAGAAGCGCTCAACTTTTGCCCAAAGTTTAGTTTGTGGCAGTCAACCAGGATGGTGAACACTTCAGATTTGCCTTGGATGGTAAGGACCATGGCTTTGTGGCCGTCCAAACCACCAATGTACCTAAATCCACCCATCTCCGACTAATCCACCACCAAGTTACCAACCCCTCCAACGCATGAAGCTTCCCTCACCAATCTCAACAGATCTCGACAGGCTACGAGGAATACTCCCAGCTCTTGGCATCAGAGAACATCTTCGTTCGGGCGGGGCTGCCCGAAACCTGAATGAAGCTAAGATTCACCCAGTGTGCAAGCAAATGCACTTCGATGACACGAGCTGGGTGAATTTTGGAGTCCAAAACCAAGTGGACAACCAGAGCTCTCAGGAAACTATAAGGAACATCATTATATAGTGTGAATGCCTGTTGTTCTTTCTATTGCTTACTTGCTTACTTTCTCTCTTTCTTTCGCTTCTGTAGTCTATGATTGAAAGGGGGCATGGGGCAGCTATAAAGTCTTCAAGTAGGAACGTACCTTGAAAGCCAATGTGCTGGAACCCACATTCATTGCCTTTTCGGCAGGGCTTACTTACTCGAACCCATCAGGGCCTTACGCAACTTTTGGGCAACTCTTTGTCAATTCTTTCATTCTAGGGTACTCCGCTTCCCGTGGTGGGTCCATCCAACCATTCTATGTTCGGTTCACATTTGTGGTTTGTTATACAGTGTACATGTACTCATTTCCGTCCACTGCTTGAAGAACTGCTCAACATGTGATAATTATCTATTCCAACTCATCAAATCTTAAAGTTCGTCTGACTTGTAAACTCTTCACCCAGCCGTCCACGCACAGCTTCCCCATTCTCGGACGGGCTGCGGACTGCCCGACTCCCTTTCGGCGAGGCACGTAGCTTCTTGGTCTTCCAGGGCGATGTGATGCAACTCGCGAGGCACGACACCCTTTCGCGCGCAACACCCCTTCGCGGGTGGGTGGCTTTTGGTGGTTTGTGGGTGTCCCCCATGGGTTCTCCCACCGAGATCCTCCCACGGTGGCTCGGTTTTAGAGGTGGGATTGAAAATCCAAGCATCTCGACCAGCCAGGTCGTGGGTTGGTGTTCCGGGGCTCTGGGTACAGGTGCTGCTCTCACGGGTTGCAACTAATCGAGTGTGCATAGCCATTCCGCGCTTGCGTCTACGGCACCCAGCTCCCTTGGTTGACCCAACGTCTGAATGCCGTGATGCTGCGATGCCTTGAAGGTCTGCGCTATGCTGAGCTGATACAGGGGTGTCTGTTTGCAAAACATATATAGGAACCTGGTTGACCCCTGGAAATGCACCAAATTCGCCTTATACAGGCACATGAACCGATCCCAGTTTGACCAAGATGTCGTGTCTTGGTCATCGCGGTCCGACGATGGAGGAAAGTTGGTGGGACTTAGTGGTTTCCTTGTACGTAGTATTTGCTGACTCCTTCCTTGGCCAAACAGCGAAACGCGGTGCTCGTCAGGAGACAAGGCCAGGAGCTTACCTTAATGCTCGAGACCATTAGTGGCGCGGGACCCAATGCGAGCTCCTGCAGCTCCTGCCAGTTGGGAATTGGTTTGGACTTGCGGTCTACACTCATATAGTTGAAATATATTTAAATGCAAACTGGCAGGGAAGATTCAAGGACTCTGTGCAACTGCTCGGGTATGAGTGTTGATGAGGGTGGGCAGTAATTCGTGCCCTCCTTATGATTAGTGGATGAGACGTAGTTGAGGTGACTCCCATGACGATCGGTCTTTCCGTTTCTTGCGCCGATTCTAGAAGAGTTCTCAATAGTAGCTGCTTAGTAGCTATAGATGCTATAACAATTCCTTTTTTTGACTTTCACTGAGCTCAACACGTGCTTGGAACTTCGACCTGAATACCCCACCGAAAAAGCATGCCTCCCCAGGGGCGAAGGGTCTTCACCCAAGAAGAATGGCTTGGGTCCGATGGCTTCAGCACCGCGGCTTCTCCGGCGTTGACGGCAACGGCAGGTTCGGAGCAGCTGAGGGATCGCTACACGGAGTTGTCCAAGGCGCGGGTGTGAGATGGGTCATACAGAGGCAATACGGTGATCCTGCAAAGGGAATTTGGGGAGGTAGATCTACTTTCATGGAACTTCGAACGTTTCACTGGTCTATTTGTTTTGGCCTGAACCAGCTCAATAGAGCGCATCAACGCCATATGCGGAGCGGAAGCTCAAGGGGACACCCAAATTGAGAAGACATGGTTCCTGTCCTGTGATGGCAGTCGCATGGTGAGATGGTGCCGCCCATGCGGCGCGGAGGTCTTTGACCTGGCACACCACAGCAGCGCTGACATGTGTTCGTTTCTCTCAAAGGGAACTCCAACAGACACACGAGAAACGACCGTCGATTGGTCGACAAAACATGACAAACCATGACAAACCAAACTATTGGTTGGGGATGCCCATTTCGACACAAGCTCACTAATGGTTGAATTGACACTGTTGAACAGAACAGCATTGGTTTCTATAGATCACTGTACCACATGACTACAGCCGACTGTTTTGCGTGACCTGATGTCGAGCACACGCAGGAGCTTGAGCTAGCGCAAGAGAAGGCTCCTGATGAGAGAGATGACGGTTGAATGTGTCTTTTCAAAGATGGTCACGGCTGGCGTGGAAGCGAACCATGATGAAGGTGGATTTCTGACCCTGCCATAAGATGTGATAGGCATTGGGATACTCAGATCTCGACACTCAGAATTTTGGTTTTTATAACTATTTGTTTTTCTATTTTTTGTCAAAGATTATTTATATTTATATTTTTAAATCAATGTCTCGTTTCAAGTCCACTAACATGGACGTAGCGTTCCATAGGTTTGCAGAGGAAACAGAGGCCCTTTGATTACTGATTACTGTAAATTTCAGTGATCGTTGTAGTGTTCGATATGGTACTTCGACACTGGAGTTCAATAATCACGAGCTCCCAGCAATTGGGTTATCAGGGCCCTAGCAAGCCACCAAGAAGGCCTGGAGGAGAATGGGAAGTGGTCTCTTTGGAGTGGGATTGGGGGTTGGAAGTTCAACCACATCCAACTCTCGTCCAGAGAGAGTTGACCACCCCAGTGACCCAGTGACTCATCCTTCAGGCGCGGATGTACTTTCAACATCGCCGTGAGGCCTCGCGCGGAGCGAAGGAAAGCAGTTGGCTCTGGAGCCTGACGATTCAGGGATTGACCCCAATGATCTCTCAATGCTGTTGTCAGATGCCACCCCAAGCTACTGGCAAAATAGGGGCATTGATCAGCCAAGTCGTACCGTCGGGCTGGGTTCATGCTGAGGCTGTTGACCTCCGTAGCCGTAGACTGCAACTTGCGCTCAAGAAACTAACTCTACGCTCGCAAGGAATGCCTAGCCTACTAGACGCCAGATCGCGCTGTCACATGAATGGAAGCATGAACTAGGAATCCCATGAATAGAAGCATGAGCTATCCTGCGTCCTAGCTAGTAGCAGGTTGCCTAGTGGTTTCTTTAGCCCTTACAGTACTCAATTAAGTAGCCGCCTACTGATATATTTATATATATAACTAAAACCCCCCAAAAAAGAAGCGGACCACGTCTCCTTGAAATACCCAGGTCCCCAAGCGCAGGTCCTTTCGTAGAGAACGCATGTGGTGCACCTGAGCCACCGGCCTGAGGCCGAGACCACCGTGTCCCTGCTGGAGCAACAGAGGGCTGAGGCGGGCCGGGGTCTGCTCTGGTTCTTAGCGAGTGAGCAGGCTGGTGCTGGGTCCACGACACAGATTTACCAGTTTCACCGCTTTGTTCCGTGATCCTTCATTGTAATTTTGTGAATACGACTATGTCTATTTCGTTTTGTATCGGTTTATGAGGGTCTTTCTTGATTGGACAAAACAAGCATGCTGTTTATTTACATACTTGTACGCCGTACGCATGTTATAGAGCTTGTGCGCATGTTATAGAGCCTAGCCGCAATCACAACCAGCTATTTCTGAGACGCTGCAACCATCATCGCAACCGGGTTTGATCATATTTCCCATGAAAAGACGCCTTGGGGCTGTTGTTCCCACGGCGACCTTTTGTGGATACTTTGCGGTCGAAGCACCTGGATTGTCAAGACATGTCAAGACCATATAGTATTGAGTCAAGCGTACTCGGTGTGCCCTGATGCTGTCTGGGAAGTTAGCCACCCACGGGACGAGCCGGTGTGCACAGCGGCGCTTGTTTTGCGACCTTCGGTGAGGTCAGAAATCGCAGGCCTCCAGCCTCCCACACCAATTCAACCCAAGATCTCTCCCAGATGCACTAGAACCTCTCCTCACCTTGACCACATCACTCACCTTCACCTTCCAACGCGCCAAGGGCGCTCGGAACGTCGGCACCAGGTCCAGAGGTACCAAGATCTCCGCGCCCAAAGGGAGGCGCTGGTGATCGAGGCAGTGAGGGCCCCGGAGACGAGCTGAAGGACACTGGCCAAAAACGGCGGGAAAGTCGGGGTCCTCTTCCAGCTCTTCCTTGTGATCTGCCAACATACCAGCAGGAGGCAGCATACTTCAATGATTGATCAATGCATTTTAGTTCCTCCTACTGTTACTTTTGAGACCGACAGATTGGGATGCACCCTCTTCCGTACGTGCATCAGCAGATTTGATCGCCCAGGCCCTCTTCCGCCTCTTTTGTGCGGACCGGGACGCTGCCGTCAATCTCGAGGCACCCGAGTTGTTTGAAGAGCTTGCTACTAGTAGCTTCTTGTTACTAGTAGACCTAGTAGTAATGGTAGCGTCCTTGCTCCTAGTAGCGATGCCCCTTGCTACTGAGATACACTCCAACTCACGGAAGTGGATGGCCGCCCCCTTGGAAGAGTGTTTCCCTGCAAGAGGGTTGCCATCCACTTCCATGTGATGTGTTCGTCGGAGGGTTGTATTTTCCTGTACCTTTCTGCAGGCTGCCCAGCAGTTGAAAGAAGAGCTTTCTGGAACAGAGCAAGATTTGAGAAAGAGGCGCATGCGAGTTGCTTGTTTGAGACCATGTAATGGAGCTTCTGCAAAGAATAAACATTTAGACAGAACGGTTCTGAGAGGATTGTTGATAGTGCATATCAAGGTCTTGCTCTCGAGATCTTGATGCTGCTAGTTGTCTGGGTCCACCACTGCCCTTCCGCGTTTTGCCGCAGACACGCATTTGTCAATCCTGGCAGCTTCCAATGCCAAGGAATTGCCTCCGCTGCAGATTGCAGCTACGGTGTAGGGGGATACTTTTCCAAAGAAGGCCTTGACTTCTTTTCAGAAGCGATTCCACGCAGAAACATTTTTAATAAAGCAGTTTCAACATGTTTACCCATTCTTGGTCTACAGGACTTTGTGGTTGTCCACGATTGAGCCAGATTTCTCGGAGTCTTCTCGCGTGCGGGTTGGCACACGCTCGTCACGTGGTCGCCGCATGACGCCCTCGCGTTCGGCGCGCAGCGTGGTCGGACGCGGCGTTCGACGCGGCGTTCCTCAGGCGGAAGAAGGCCGATGCTGACGAAGTCCAGCGACAACAGCTGGAGAAAGAGCTCCGAGAGGCACCACGCGGTGAGCGTGACAAGCTGGGCGGTGCGTGGACAGGCGTTCGAGGCTTGGAATCTCTGTTGAAACCAAGAGTGGACAAGAAGATGTGAAGGGTGGAAAACAACTGATGGGGAGAGGCAGAGGGTAATTCGGTCGGTGCTTGCCATGCTGAACTGGGGGTCGAAAGACTCTGGTGTTATCATGTGAGCGCAACCTGGCGCTCTCATCTTCTCGCTCTGGCAAAGTGCCCCACCCTTCACGGCACTTCGTGCATGGCTAGGCGCAGAATGAGCACTTTGCGCTGAACTCTGCGCTGGAGCAGCGGAAGCCCGAAATTGGGAACTGCCGAAAGCAGGCCACTGCGTGAGATGCACCAAATGGTGAGGGTGTGATTTTGACATGGTGGTCGAACGCTCTTGGTCACGAAAGGAGCAATAAGTGAGAGTATACACCAGTGCCAGTGACTAGTGTTGGTCAACGGTATTGACCGCCTTGGCCCATACCCAGATGACCTCTCTGAAGGTCCCAGTCAAAAGACCACAACCCATTCCATGCTCTCAACCACCCTTTGGTCGCGGCAGGCGGCACATTGGACCATCAAGGAGCGAGAAGCCCAGGCGAAGCCTCTTTCACATGGTTTAGGGCACAGATGTCCTTTTTTCTGACCTCAAATGGAAGCGTGGCAACCCACCCAACCAATCAGCCAGCCTAACCAACTGTGGCCCATCCATTGAAGACGGGGGTTTTGTGCATGATCATGCATGAGACGGATGCAACACTTAGCATTTTGCATTTTTATGCTTTTTGTATGGTACTCCTCCCAAAAAGAACCGTCAGGATCTCCCCCTGACATATTGGGTGGCAGCTCATATTCGCACACAGATCCCCCATATTGATATCATGGTGATATGATCCATTATTGAGAACCAAAACCATGTTCATCCATTTGTACATACCGAGTGGTGGATGCCAGTGCGTGCTGACACCCCTCGATGGGTTTTGATGGTTTCGGAGTCCGTCTAGGTTGGAGGCCATCGCAAGTAGGTTGGAGGCCATCGCTCTTGGGTTGGAGGCCATCACAAGTAGGTTGGAGGCCATCGCTCTCAGGTTGCAGGCTATCGCAAGTAGGTTGGAGGCCATCGCAAGTAAGTAGGTTGGAGGCCATCGCTCTTAGGTTGGAGGCCATCGCCAAGTAGGTTGGAGGCCATCGCTCTTAGGTTGGAGGCCATCGCTCTAAGGTTGCAGGCTATCGCAGTAGGTTGGAGGCCATCGCAAGTAGGTTGGAGGCCATAGCTCTTAGGTTGGAGGCCATCGCTCTAAGGTTGCTATCGCAAGTAGGTTGGAGGCCATCGCAAGTAGGTTGGAGGCCATTGCAAGTAGGTTGGAGGCCATCGCTAGTATATAGTAACTCAAGAAAATATTTCAACAAGTGCACTGAGCCTGTCGCAGGCACGAATCCAACAGGAGCAAGAGAAGATGCAGAGCTTGAAGGTGCGAGGAGACGTTAGGCCAAACAAACAGGGGTACCTGGAACCTGAGTGATCTATTTCTATACTTATTTACAGTACATTTTTTCCAGTGTCATGTGGCGTCGTGGCCCAATTATACTCCTTGATTGCTCAACTATGCTCAACCAACAAGAAGGATATGTCTCCATTAGGGTTTCAGGACACTTTGCCCAACCCAAGTTTTCATAGAACTCTGGCCGGAGGTTGGTATGATGCAAAGAGCGTTCTTTTTCCGTGCGGCGAAGTCCCCTGTTGATGTTCACGCTCCTGTCGGCCTGAGTATGTTGCACCGGTCCCTGGGTATGTTGTACGCTTTGTATCTGACCGAGTGCAGAGATCTTTCACAACACCTGCAGGCTGCTTGGGAAGATGCCACCGAGCGGCGGAAGACAGCGGAGCAGGTGTGTTTGAACCACCGCTGGGCTGCTGCGTTTGACAACGAATGCCTTAGGCTGTTGCGTTTGACCCAGCCTCTCACGGCAAAGCCACAAAGGAGCCGTTTCCATCTTTGGATACCAAATGTCCTCACTTAAGATGAGATAGAAGTAGAACTCTCAAAAGGCAGGAGATGGCCACAAATCATTGTGAACTTCCCCGCATACTCGAATTCTTCGGTTTCAATATTGCCATCCAAACCTACGGGCGGATCCCCATGACTGCAAGTCCGCCCTTGGAGAGTCCGACCTGGTCTCGCCCCGCAGGAGCTGGAGGAGATCCGCGGTCGGAAGGTCGACTGCGCTGGGGAAACCTGGCCGAGTGCTGCTGTTCGATGTGATTCGAAGGCGGTGGACCTTTTTCAAACACTTCAAACCAGCCTAACAATGCCTAACACGTTTGGGTCTCTTGGACGGTTTGCCCTTTGGAGATGTGTGATTGGCTGGGGAATGTTGTGGAGAGCTGCTGCTAATGCTTCCCCGTCGTTTGGCGCTCACCCCGCCACCCCTCCAGCATCCTCAGTCCCCTGGGGTCGGGCTCTCGGGGCCGCTGTGGAGTTTGTTCATTTGCAGAAAATAAAGCATGATAGTTACTAGTAGCGAACATTGCTCCTAGTAGCGATGCCAGGAGCCCCTAGTAGCGTGCTTGCTCCTAGTAGCGATGCCCTTTGCCCCTAGTAGACGCTATGTTTTGGGAAAGTAGCTGAATCACCGACCCTGTGTCGGTGTCTTATATTCAACGTTTATGACCCGTAGAACATTTAAGGCTGTTTTGTGTCTTTGCAGTTTTTTCTTCGAATAGACTAGATTTCAACCTGCCGATAGGTCATCATTGCATCTTCCGATTTGAACAGATGTTTGAGTCTGCCTGTGATAGGCCCCATTCCATTCCCATCCTCATGTTTTGCTGCATTGTGGAGTCTTCCACCAAGCCTTCTGAACTGCTGAACTTGAGGCCATACAGCTGACTGCTGAACAGCGCAAGGAGTGCGCTTGAAGTTGGGCTGCTGTGCAGCCAACTTCAATGCTTTTTTGCCGGGGGGGAGGTCTCGTGATTCACAGTCCGACAGGCTGACAGAGCCGCTCTCCACCAGGGTATTCACTCTGAACTCTCGGAGTCGATCGAAGTGGGCGAGCCGGTTTTTACGCAACAGACATATAGAAGTAATTCGAACTTCTAGTAGCTTCTTGTTACTAGTTATTGCCCTTACTAGTAGCTTTGTCACCAGGTACGATCAGGCAGTACAGAAGACTGAGCAGCTCAACAGTAAAGCCCGTGAGAAGCTGCGGGAGGTGCCCGTGATTCTGGACTCGGGATGTTGGGAGAGTTTCAATCCGGGTCTGTGGAGGTGTGGCATGAATTTCGACCTCTAAACAAAACACACTGGTGCAACCAGCGGTGAACTGGGTTTCATTCTGTGCATTCTACTTAGCTTGCGCATGCGTGCGCCATTTCTTGATTTTGAACACACCAGTGGTAGGTGTCTCAGCCTCTTTGGGGGCCTCGTCCGACAGCAGGCAGAAGAGAAACTTCGCCGCATCATGCAGGAGCTGAAAGCCAGCAAAGAGGAGCCTAGGATCAACGAGAGGCAAAATTCCCAATGGCATTCCCCTAGTTATATACGTTACTATAGTACTAGTTAAGATACTACCAAAACGCATTGGAGTAAAAGACATGTTCTGTAAAGACCATGTCAGTGAATAAGCCAGTAAGAGAACACCGGACTTACAATCATTACCTTCAAGAACTCATGAAACCCAATGACTGCAAATAACAGATTGCACCTTCAATTGAATGGTTTGTGAACGTGTCAATTCTTTGGAGACATGCACATCCTGATTTGAGGGCACGCTAAAGGTTGTGTAGTGGGCTTCCAATGGGGTCCACGGTCAACAAGCTCTCATGATTTCATATTGATCTTCATGGCGATACCATTTTCGCTAATCCAATGAACGAATGCAAAAGAAACGGGCTTTGTTGGAGACACTACAGCTGCATGTTGTTTTGCGAGAAATCCGCACCAGCAACCAACCCATCAATCCACGTTTGTGACCCACGCGGCAAAGGATCTCGGGGAGCGACAAGAGAAGCGGGGCCGGTTGGCCGCCAAGGTTGAGGCGCTACGCAGTCGGTGGGTCGGCGCCGCAGTTGGTCTTGGAAGGTGTGTAGATGTGGTGAATCCAGGTGAATGGTGGAATTCTGCCAGAGTTACTAGTCGATGCCCTTGTTACTAGCAGCTTCGTGCTACTAGCAGTAATGCACTTGTTACTACTAGCGATGCGCTTGTTACTAATGTCCAGAGTTCTTTGGATGTTTTTGTTGAGAAGTGACAAGTGGACTTGTTCCTTTTCTTTCCATGTGCTGCTGAATTACTGACCTTTTGACGTAAGACACTAGCCATGGGTTCCCGGTCAGCAATATGAACTATAACAATATATATATATATACACTGTGTATATATATATATGTATACATATTATATTGTAACATATACGTTGTTTGGCGGGCCGCAAGCTCACAAGAATCCAACGGATTTGTTTGTCCATGTAAGAACGGCGGATGAGACCCAAAGCTGCCTGCACCTGGAGCTTCCTCTTGTTCGGATAAAGTTGACTTCATTCGCCAAGCTCACTCCCGGTACATGAGACTTCCTGCACATGGATGGAACGGTGCTCTTTTGATCTCTTCTGATCATGGAAGAACTACATCTGCCCCTGAAAATGCAGGCTTTCTGAGTTCGGACCATCAGGGCTTCCAAGCTCAAATCTGCTTGAGGCGAGGCAGGTGTTTTCAAACATCCCCCAGTGGACCAGTGAAGCCCGCACCGCCACCTCGACGGTGGTTCCACTCATGTTCAACCAGAGCGGTCGAAGGAAGCTCCACGCCTGTCCACTTCGTGGTGTCGCGTGGACGCCGGTCGTCCGTAAGAAGACGCGAAGGACCTGGGTCGTGAGAAGAGGGACCTGGAGATCTCCCTGGACACCAGCAGTATCGAAATGCAGCAGACCAAGAGGCCTGAGATCGGCAGCGGCGGTGCCGAAACGAAGGGCGGCTGTGCTGTTGTGTGAGTCTCCATGTGGGGTGGTTTTGGAATGGCTTGACGTGTCTCTAGGAAAGAACTTGGGGAAGTTGCCTTGTATCATCAATCTTTTGCCATGGCTGAAAGCACCACCAAACGCGCAAGGTTTGCTGTCATGATGCCGTTGCATGCAGAGTTGACACATGTAAAGTCGGAGGGCAAGCGGGTCTCGCACCCAACTCCTGCCATTAAAATGTTGGAGTTCAAAGGGTTCTCGGCAACCATTCAATTGCGCAGGATTTTCTCAAGCCCCAGTTTTGATGCTTTGGTTCTTGGAGAGAACCCTCTTTCCATCACCAGTTTGGCATCCAGTCGTGAAAAGGTATGGTATGATGACATAACATGACATAACCTTTCCTATGATCTTATGTTTTCTTATGCAATTTTATTCCATCATGTGCCTTAATGTCTTCAGGGGGCCAACATGAGGATGGACATAGGCAGAGTGAGCAAGCACATAGGGCAATCCAGTCCCATGTTCTTTAAGATAATGCGCAACTCGTCTCTTAGTGGTTTGGACGGGCAAGGTGTAGCTGACTTCCGACAAGGATGCTCCACCTGAAACGGGCGGCTTAGGAGGCTTGAAACCCGAAAACTCTGAGGGGCTCGAGCCCGTCAGCTGGTCTACTCTCGGGAAGAAAGAGAAAGCTGAGGCAGGTGGTCAACTTGGAAGACGAGGTGAAGACCTTCGCGGCCTTCAAAGAGTCCCTCATCGAGGAGGGGTACAGCAACATGACTGCCGACAGGGGGATGAACCAACTAAACTTCCCTTGGTCAGTTAGTCCAAGGAACCCAATCAGTTTTTTTTGTAGTAGACATGATGATTTGAATGGAGGTATGAAACTTTGCAAAATAGTGAATTCCCAGGTAAAGCATTACCACTGAGCGCTCCTATTTTCGATTCCACTCCACACAGAGTTTCTAGGGTTTGGTTGTCAACAGACCCGCATGAGGATGGGTCAAACCCATCCTTCTTCTTGGCGGATGAGCATCAAAAAGCAACTAGCAACATCTAGCAACTACCTGCTGTGGTGCCCAAGGGCTATCCGCATGCAATTCACCAATCATCCGTAATCACCCTCATATAATCACCATCAATCACCCAGACAAAAACCACAGAGCTCGACCCCCGCGCCTCTCACGCATGGGATCGATGATCTTCTCCAGATCTCCAGGAGCGAGCGCAGCTCACCGCCGAGGTGGACTCCGTGAAGGCGTGAGGGTGAGAGTGACATCGGTGAGGTGGCGTCCTTGCTCCTAGTAGCGATGCCCTTTGTTCCTAGTAGCGTCCTTGTTCCTAGTAGTAAGGCCAGGAGCCCCTAGTAGCGTCCTTGCTCCTGTGTACGGTTTGGTGGTTTGGAGAGGTGAGGAGGCCCACTGCATGATTAAAACCTTCCCTTATGACTGATTGTTGTGGGCTTCATCATCCAGCTCAAAGGTTCTTTTGGGCGGAGCTTGATTTGTTTAGTCCCTTTAAAGCCACTTCTGTTGCATGGACATGTGTATATATGACACCGACTGTATATGCATTCTTGACATCTCAAGTCCGGCACGAATTGTCCATGATCAGGTCATATGTCGCACCCAGAGAAGCAAAGGGGAAGTTTTGAAGCACACTTTCCATATGTTTGGGTTGGTTGTAGCATCCAAAAGTAAGTCGGTTGGATTCATTCTGGTTGGTAGATCGTGTTATTGACCATTGGTTTTAGTCTATGGATTTGTCGCGCAAAGAGGAACCTCATGGAAGGAGGCGAAGTGATTTGTCTAGAGTCTAGAGATTCCATATGATTCCATTGTGCAAACCTAGAACCAGTGTGCAGCATATCGACCTGTCTTTCCTAGGGCATCGAGATGCATTGGGCAGATAAAATCAGGAACTAGCTAGATATCAGCCTGACTTTTATCAGACATCAGGTAACTAGGGACAAGATAACGCCTGATATATATCTAGATCCTCTGAGTTTCAGATCATTACACCTAGACCTAGATATCTTCCTCCGCCCGCGAACCTCCACCCCCCAAAAAGTCGGACTTCAGGCACGTCGGGAGCAGCTGGACAAGTTGGAGCAACGGCAGCGTGTTGGGCACTCAGTTCTCACCACCTGAAAAGTCAGTCATTGTACAGCTGCGGACTTGCTGCGGACTTGCTGCGGACTCGTGGGAGTCATTTGCAAATCTGGAGGCTCACGTGGCCATGGGACGGGTGAATCCCCTCTAGAACCCCCACTGGTTCTTGCTGCTCGCAGTAGCCCCCAAGATTTGACATGTCCTGACCTCCAGAGATGAGTCCCATGAAATCTGAAAGTCTATCAAAGATTTTAGATCACAAATGAAGCTGCCAATCGAACCCTTGGTCCTCAGGTGGCAGATGAGCTGCGGGGGAGGTGCCAAACAAGTGGGCCCGGGTGTTTTTTTCCGGGCTTCTTGGTGAAGGTATCCCTGGGTGGTAACGTGTCATGGGGTCAGGCAGACAGACCGGGCACTGGGTACATCGAAGGTCAGGGAGCTGCCCCCAGAAATATGGAGACTTTGCTTGTTGACCCCTCAACTCTCTTCCATGCTCCCAGTCCGAAGTATTTTTTGACTGACGCTAAAAGATGAGCATGAAACTTGAGGATGAGCATTGATGAGCAAATTCAATGGGTTTGTTACTATGCAAGGCACCAAAACAACGACCCAAACACAACCCTGCCAGGGAGACAGGATCGGATTTTCCCAGGGGCCCGGCCTGGATCTGTGCCGAACCACCACCTACGACCAACAACGACGTGAATATGAAAGACGGTCACACAGTTGAAACAACCTTTTTCGCTGCATGAAGGGTCCAAGGCTCCTGGACGAAGGCCGAGCCCGCCTGACATTTCCAACCAACCAGTTACTGTAGTTGTGAGCATCGGACAAACTTCCGTACAGGTACTTCAGTATACTCTAGTCATAAGCCCCCATCCTTTAATCATGAGAAGTTTTGGCCGCCAATATAGTAACAAGAAGCTACTAGTAGCAAAGGACATCACTATTAGGTTGGAGGCCATTACTACTAGTAACAAGAAGCTACTAGTAGCAAGAAGCTACTAGGTGGAGGCAATCGCTATTGGGTTGGAGGCCATTACTACTAGTAACATCTAGTAACAAGAAGCTACTAGTAGCAAGAAGCTACTAGGTGGAGGGC